GCTGGGACTCGCGGGGAGGGGGGTGTGGGGCTTGGAAATGGAGGCCTGAGCCTCGCAATAAAGTTTGGCCTTGAGACATGCTCTGATTGGAACCAAATCCAGCGTCTTTAGCACTGGGAGCCGCGAGGCCGCCTGGGGACAAACCCTGCTCGGTCCCATCTCCCTGGCTTTGGTATGATCCATCCCAATCCTCCAGATCCCCATTTTCAGCCTTCCCTGCCCACAGCACTCGCACCTGTAGGAGTGACCCTGTCTCAGGTGCTTTGTGTTTGTCAGGAAGGAGGCAAATCCCGCCTGGAAGTCACAAAAAGGAGCAGCGAGGGATGGTTTGTCCTCCAGCAGCTGCCTTTTCTTCTCTAATCCCTGTCCTGGGGGGTTAAACCTTCCCCAAATCCAGGCTCAAATGCAGCAGCTCAACCATTGCTATGAGAATGGAAAATAAAGCGGCTCCAAGTGGAAAATGATCCCCAAAAAGTTTCTGGGCAGGTGAGATCCCCATCCTCCAGCAGGTGAGTGCTCACTGAAGGTTTTTGAGGCTGTTTGGATGTTTGGGAGCGGCTCATCTCTCCTGGGAATCGGGATTTTGGGATATGAGTGTCCTTCAGGAGGGGAGGAGGTTGGGTGTCACCTCTCATCAGTGTTGAAAGGACCCCCAGGGAACGGAAAATTATTTTTGGGGCTCTTTCACAACGTTCGTTAACAATTTCACAGCAGTCACTTCTCCCAAATCTGCCCGAAACCAGGACACTCCTGAGGGCTGCAGAAACATTTTGGAGCAGGGATGCCCCAGGGCCTGGTCCAAACCACCACAGCCCTGGCTGAGGAGCAGCTTTGAGGCTGAGCAAACCCCATCCACCCTCCAAACGCTCCGAGGGCTTTGGTTTTGGAACGGGCTCGTTTAAAACCCGGCGGAACCTCCGGCCGCAGCTGGGAATTGCATTTTCCCACCATTTATTTCGCGTCCAGAGCCGGGTCAAGTTTTGGTGCCTGCATCCCTCAGGAGCACTCTCTGTTCCTGGCCCTGAGCTGCAGGAATGACCCTGCTCCTCCCAGATCGCATTCCCGAATTTATTTCTTGCCTTTTCCTTCCCACTGAGCCATACACGGGGATGCTTTTGGCGGGGAAAGGATTTTCCACAAGGACAAGGGGAATTGTTTCCTAGTGCCCGAGGGCAGGGTTTAGGTGGGATTTTGGGAAGGAATTCCCAGGGAAGCTGTGGCTGCTCCTGGGCCCCCTGGGACAGTGGGGAGCGTCCCTGCCACGGCAGGGCTGGCACTGGATGGGATTTTAGGTCCCTCCCAACCCAAACCACTCCAGGATTCCGTGATAAAAACGTGTCCAGCATTTCACGATGAAGCAGGGCTTGGGTCGGGATCAACGCCACGGAAACAGCAAATGTAAAAACTCCTTTATTAGAGCCGAGACTGGAATGAGACAGAAATTAGAAAACACTTCTTGGCCTGCAGCGATACCAGCGGTGGGGGCAGGGGCGGACAAAAGGCTGACTGGAACTGTGGGGCTGGGGCCAAATTTGGTGCTGGAAGGGAACAAAAGCTCCCTCAGGCCTCGGGGGATGGGGAGGGGAAATGCGGGAACGCGGAAATGCGGGAATGCAGAAATGCGGGAATGCAGCAATGCAGCGGGGCTGGCACACAAAGGAGGCTGCCGGGCACCTCGGCTCGATCCGTTCTAATTTGTACCAGACGTGGAACGCTTAGAAAAGGCTCAGCCCGGCGAATCCCGGGCCGGGGTTACAAAACATCCGCGTGTCACAAAGTACCGGGCACCTCCAAGCCCTGCTTTTCCGGTGGCCGTCCTGAAAAAAGGTTTCTTTTCTCTCTGTTTGTAGATATTTATATATATATATATAATATATATCTTCACTTAGCTTACACCAATGCAAAAAAAAAAAAAAAACAAAAAACAAACTCATTTAGGACAGTGTTATTCAGTGCCTTGCAAAAATAAAATGCACGAGATATTAAACCGAGCTCGGTTCCACAAGCGCAGCGCCGCGGGTGTTACAGCTCGTCCCCAGCCCAGCATCCACGCGAGAAGCAGGAATTTCACTGCTGCTTCCGCAGGGCAAAGGAATTACTCCGAAATGTGATTTTTTTTTGAAAGTGTCTCCCTTCCCAGGCCCGTTTTTCCCGGTGCTGTTTGCTGTACCGGTGTCAGTCTCTGGCCACCCTGAGAATTCTCTGTGCTGCATTTTCACCTCCTTTAGTCCAGGTGCTGAAGCACGAACAGGACTTGTCACCAAGTGGCTTTTTCTCGGGCTGTAACACCGTTTTGGGGGGTGTTTGGGGCATTCAGCAGCACTTTCTGCCTCTAAAGGCTGACGGGGAGTAAAAAATTACTTTATTTCATTATTTTGGTGTGTTGCTGCACGGGGTTCTTGCAGCGTGCAGGGTGTGGAGTGGCAGCTCCGTATGTACACGGGGAAGGGTTTTTGGGGTTTTTTTAAGGATGAAATGGTTCAAATTTTTCAACCTGGCAGCTTGAAAACCCCACGGCTGCCCCTCTGAGATCCCCAGGGAGCTGGGGGGGACTGAGGGGTGAGACAACACCCCGCCTGTTAACAAAGAGGATTTTTGGAAAATCTCCTGCAGGGACCCCGAGGAGAGCTCCCCTCTGGCCGGTCCCTCTCGGGGGTAGCCCCGAGGAGGAGGAGGAGGAGATGAAGGCCGCGCTTCTGGTCTCCGGGGCCGCGTTTGGGGGCGGAAAAGGAAATTTTTTCATCCCGTTTTTTCTTGCCTCCCCAAAAAACCGAGAGAGCCGGGCCGGGGCGGGGGGGCCCGGCAGCCGCGGGGTTCTAGCGGAGGGCGGCGAGCGCCAGGAGCAGCAGCGCGGCCAGCGCGGCGTCGGCGGCGAGGCGCGGCCGCGTCCCGGCGGCCAGCCGGTACTCCTGGTACTGCCGCACGCACATCTCGCGGATCACCTTGGTCACCACGCGCGTCTCCAGCTCCGCCTCGGTCCGGTTGAGCGCGGCGCCGGCCTCCGAGGCGTTCTTCCCGGCGGCGGGGCCGATGTTGTGCTCGGTGACGGTGATGTTGAAGCAGTCGGCCACGAAGACGTCCTGCGGCACGGCGCTGCCGCGGTAGTCGCGGTAGTAGACCTGGTTGGGGTAACGCGCGGCGTTCTCGCTCCACCAGCGGTACTCGTCGGGGCTGTCGAAGCGGTACTGCATCCCCGACATCACCCGGCCCATGGCGTAGCCCCCCAGGCCGCCCACCACGGCGCCCGCCGCCGCCGCCCCCGCCACGTGCTTCAGGTTGGGCTTGGGCTTGGGCGCCTTCCACGGCTTCTGGTGGTAACTCCCTCCGCTCGACGGGTTGTAGCCCTGGTTCCAGCCCGGGTACCCGGGGTTCTGGGGATACCCGGGGTTGTGCGGGTAGCCAGGATTGTGCGGGTACCCGGGGTTGTGGGGGTAGCCGGGGTTGTGCGGGTAGCCGGGGTTGTGCGGGTAGCCGGGGTTCTGGGGCGGGTAGCCGGGCTGCCGGGGGTAGCTGGGCTGGCGGCTCCCGGTGCCCCAGCCGCCCCCGCCGGGTTTGCCTTTGCCCTTCTTGCAGGAGGCGAGGTCGGCGCCCAGGAGCAGCAGCAGCAGCAGGCAGGAGGTGCCCAGGAGCCGGGCCATGGCTGCGGGACAGGACACAGTCAGCCTCGATGGACCCGCGCACCAGCAGCGCTGGCAGCGCCGCGCTCGGGTTGTACTCACCCCACCCCCAGACCTTCTATGTCTACAGAAATGTCAAATATTATATATATATATGCGTGTGTGTGTGTATTTATATATATGTATGTGTGTGTATATG